TCGGGAGTTGGCATATCTCCTGTGAATAAAGTATAAAGTGTTGGGCCTAGAACACTACCCTGTGGTACTCCAGCCATAATTGGTCTAGTCAAGGATACTGTTTGCCCCCTTGACACTTGGAAGGTTCTTCCAATAAGGTATGAGGATAGCAACGCGAAAAATGGGGCTGGAAGGGTGGTCCTCACTTTCTGCAGCAGTCCCAGGTGCCAAACTCGATCAAACGCCTGTTTGATGTCTAAAAAGACGGCAGAGCAGTACATCTTTTCTTCAAAGGCTCCAAGGATATGGTGCACAACTCTGTGAACCTGTTCCGGTGTTCCATGCTGTCTCCTGAAGCCAAACTGATGGTTTGGAATGGCCTCCTGGCGTCCCAGATGTGTCAGTACTCGTTCCAGAAATATTCTTTCGAATATTTTGGAGAGTACTGGCAACAGGCTAATTGGTCTGTACGACTCAATTTCTCCCACGGGTTTGCCAGGCTTAGGAATCATCACAATCACGGCGCGCTTCCAGCAGGCTGGAAAGTGCCGGATGCGGAGCATGGCGTTGTACACCATAGTTATGTAGTCTATGGTGGAGTCAGGCAGTGCTCTAAGGACTCTGCCGTTTATTAGATCATATCCAGGGGATTTTTTTGCCTTCACTCTTCTGATGTGTTCAAGAACCTCTTCTTTTGTACATCCAGTTATCTGGTCTTCAGCTGGGAGGGGCGAGAGAACGATGTCTTCTGTTGCTTCGATTTCTGAGGCCTCTGCGGTAATCACCGGCGTGAATTGGTCTTGAAGGTGGTTTGCAAAAGCCTCAGCTTGAGCTTCGTCTCCAATGTGCCAGGAACCAGAAATGCTCCGAATGGGATGACGTCGTATTGGCTGCCGTTTGAGCTTTCTTGTAAATTTCCATAATTGAAACTCTGCGTCAGTGGGCGATTCAGCTCGTACCAGCGCATCGCTGATACACCTCTTTTGAAGCAGGGCGAGAGCAGCTTTAAGATGCCTCGTGGCTTCGTTGTACATGGATTTGGCATCAGGCGTGCGTAATCTTAACCAGCGTCTCCTGGCCCATCTTTTGTGTATTAGTAGGTGTTGGGCCTCCAAGGTGAGGGGGATGTTGTACGGAGACTGTTGTCTTGTTTGGCAAGATGGTGGGGCGGCTTGGTGCGCAGCTTTGACTATTTCTTCCTGCAGTTTGTTTGCTGCGTAGTCCACGTCTTCAGGAGTGTTAAGTTCCATTTCTATGTGCAAAGAGTAATGGAGCTCGCGCCTAAAGACTCCTAAATCTGATCCTGCTGGCAGTAGTTGTTTCCTAATGGGCAAGGGCTGTGGCTGCGCGTGGATTGTGACTATTAGTGGCAGGTGGTCAGAGGATAGGTCCAAGGATTCTTCAATGGTCAATTGCCGGTCACAGATGCCTTTGTAGACAGCGAAGTCGATTGCCGAGGGCCTGTGTCCATTAATTGGGTAACGGGTGGGGGCTCCAGTCGCCAATATGCTGAATTGTAAGTTTTGAATCGCCTCAAATATGACTTCTCCGCGACGATTCGCACTATTGCTTCCCCAAAATGGGTGCCATCCATTCCAGTCGCCGCCGATGAGGGTCTTATTCAACCTTTGGCCTAGAACCTGTTCCATGTGATGATCACACAGACCAGTGTTTGGCGGAAGATAAATTGACGCAACTTCGATCGCTCCAATAGACGTAGGCAGGGTGATGGCTGAGACCTGCATTGTTGCGTTGCAAATTGGCAGTAAAGGTGTATGCGGTATTGTTGCTCGTATGAGGATTGAGGATCCACCAAAGCAGTTTGCTCCTTCACCATGAGCCTGATAGTGTTCGTATCCGAAAATTTGTGTAGTGGGGCACTCATGAGTTTCTGTTATTAACATTATATCTATGTTTTCTTGTGAGAGAAACGCAGCCAGTTCCTGAGTCTTGTTTCTCAGGCCATTGGCGTTCCAGATACCCACACGTAAAGCCATTATTTGTAGGCAAGCTTGGTTATGATGGCCATTAAACTGTTTAGCATGGTTGCTTGTTGGGATTGTACTTCTCGCATCGCTTTGAGCTCGGCATTAATTGCGTCAAACTGACGTTGTTGTTGCTGAAGCATTTCAGTGAACAAAGTGTCACTTGTGGTATTCTTATTTGACGGTCCACCTCTAGCGGCCTGTGCGTAAGAAACACCACTAATAGGCGTTGCAAAGCTCGTGGCTTGGGTAATGCTCCGGGGCCTTGTAATTTCGGAAGCAGTACTCGGACCCGTAGACGGTGTTTGTGTGGGACTCCTTTTTTGTGCTGGGGATTGCAATTTGCGCAACCGCTTGTATACTTGGCAGCCCTTATAGTTGGCTGGGTGCTGTAACTCACAGTGCACACAAGTTGGTGCCTGGTCCTTTTCGCGGGTGCAGTCTTTGGATGCGTGTTTCCCGGCGCAACGCACACATCTGGGAGCTTTGTGGCAGTAGCGTTGTGTGTGTCCAAATTCTTGACAGCGATGGCATTGTGTCAGGTCGTTGTATCTTCTTGGCAGTTCCACTGTGCAGCGTTGCCTGCAGACAACTCGAATGTCCAAAATTTCTTTGTTGTTGGGGGCCTGAGCCACGTCAACAAAAAATATATTTAGCGGTGTTTTGTCCATACGGCTCAGTGGGTTGTGCACATTTGTAATTGTGTGGCCTTTGGTTTCCAATTCCTTTTTAATTAGTGTTGTATCAGTGCTGGAGTGAAGCCCTTTGAACACGACTCTATATGGTTTGTCCTCCTTAAGCTGGTAGCAGTGGAACTCCAATTCCAGCTTAGTAAAGTGGTCTATAACTCTGCGATAGTCCTCACTGCATTGGGTTAATACACCTATGTTATTCTTCTTTGGCTTAATTACGTATGATTTAGCATCAATTACTTTATCTATTATCTGTTGAAGTAGGGCCACAGACTTGATGTTTGGACACCATATGGGGGGCGGACGAGGTTTCGGAGTAGTTTGCTGGTCGGTCAATACTGGGGCTTCTGGAGCTACAGGTGATTCGCTGTAGTCTTCATCTTCTTCTACGAGCAGTGAAAATCGATTTTCTGATATTAATGCTGCATTGCTGGTGCTTGGTTCGTCGAAGATGAGCCTTTTCTTGATGGTTTTTGGTGAATTTGGCTGTTTACGTTTCGTGTTTTTGTTGTTAGTGATGCCTTGCACGGAGGCGATATCTATTTTTGAGTTTATTGGCATGATGGAGGCTTGCCTATTTGCCATCACAACGTTAAGCTGGGCTTGCATTTCTGCATTTACCTTTACAGCTGTAGCGAGGTTATTGACATTAGATGTCATCGCGGATTGTGCTTTTGAGTGCAGGCGCACTCGCGCCAAGCGACGAAATTTCGTAAATTGCAATTAAAGCAATTGAGTTACGCGGAAGCAAGCGATAAGAAAACGCTGCGTGTGCGGTTTTTGTTGCTGTTGCGTTGAAGAATGCACCGCAAAGTTCTATTTTTAGAACTCTGCAGCAGTAGAGCTTAAGCGAAGGCTGTTCGAATTCACGTCTTTACAGGTCGAACGACTGATCGCGATTGTGAACTCCTAAATTATACACAATTAAAATGTTGTTACCGGCTTTACAAAGCGTTTTGCAATTATTTATTATGGAAGCCGGTTGGTCTGGGGTGGCTCAGAACTTTACCCAGGAAACGTTTAAAGTGGCACAAATCAGAGCACGAGCTGCAGCCGGAGGAGTTGCCGCAGCTCGAGTGCTCTGTAAACTGGGTCAATGTGATTATAGGCAAAGACTTTCACTAGCCAGCTGTCAAGTGAGTGGGATGAATAAAGACCGATAGAGAGAGCGAAAGAGATGAGGCGAGGTAGTGAGGGAGAGGAATAGCGTGTGTGGGCATAAAGAGAATTGAGAAATTATGTTGGAAAGGTTAGAAAGGAACACGTTATGCGAAAGTCGAAGCCAGAAAGTGGGTGAACTTTATTGATCTGTATAGATCGATAAATCTATAAGGAAGAGTTGAGAATCTTGTGTTGAATCGATAGAGACGCAGAAGCAAATTATTTATAAGACTTTTCTAATCATTGGATAGATTATATTGTAGTCTGACCTCAAGTTCAATTATCGGTATCGACATCAAAATATCTTCAGCTCTTTTCAATATTATTTATCGTTTAATCTCCATTAACTACCCTCAATTTCTTGCATATGTTATTCCATTTAACATTATTACCACTATTATTTCGTTTTGTGCGGAAAATTGCCCGCTTTTTATCGATAATGGCTAACCGATAGTTTTAATAGCTTTGCCATTGCGCACATTCCCAAACAAGCCAATTGGACACAATCACGAAACTATTTGTGCTCGGAGAAATTGTACTTCTCGAAGAGATTTTAGTGTTTCTGTCGATGGAAGCGACTACTGCCATTGGGTGCCGCGGGCAGAGCTTGGCCAAACGCTGGCAGAGCGCACATTGCCGGCATTTTCACCAAATGAATTAATTAAATCAGCGAGCAGAGACACTTTTGTAATTAGAAATGTCCGCAATTGGCAACTGTCCGCAAGAGGCGGACACACAAAAGGCAGCCGCAGCCAAAGGAAAGCCGGCGCCAACACACAATGCTTCAAAAGAGGAGTCACTCAATGTTGCAATGTTGCATCGGTTTCATTTCAGTTTTCCAAGAATTCCACGTATTTTTTTTGCTGTTGCAAATAGAAAACGGAAAGGCGACAACTTTGAGCTAATCCAACCTGAATTTCTTTGAGGTAAAACGAAGACAAGTCTCATTCGTGATTTATTTCTGCATCGAATCTGTAGTTCAAGTTCAAAGATTCAAGATCAGGGCATCCATCTATATTCCACTAGGGATCGTGATTTTGACCAGTTAAACATTTGTCTTGGCTAAGAAGCTATTTAAATTGAGTTTAAGCTGAATCAAACAACTCAAAAGTCTCAATTCATTCGTGTTCCTATCGAATCTATGCACAAACTGCATTTAAAGTTAAGCATTTTATGGACTCACCGCTGTAGAGCTGCGTTTGCGCAGTAAATTATCCAGGCACAGCTGTAGCTCAAAGGCCTTCAAGTAGATCAGATGATAACGATCGCGCAAGCGTTCCAAATTGCCTTCACCCTTTCTTGGATGGGCTGTAATGTTGCTGTTGCTGTTGCTGTTGTTGCTGCTGCCGCCAGCTGCGACAACTCCAGGCCCAGTCGAAACTCCGGTGCTGGGCGTGGTCAATTGTGCTGCATCAGAGGCAAAGCCGCTGCTAAGACTATGCGATTTGGTCGCCGCCGAGTCGCTGGTCGATTCGCTGGAGCAGTTGCTGGTTAAGGAAGCAGGCTGCTGTGACTGTGACTGTGACTGTAATTGTGACTGCGACTGTGACTGCGATTGGTCGCGTTCCTTTTCGGAGGCGGCACGTATGCAAGCGCTTACAACTCGAGCGTGTGATACAATTTCATGGTACAACACCTGGAAATAGACAAAGAAACCAAATGAAAATTGAATTCAATGCGAAAGGTGTCAAATGCGATTTGACAGTCAATTGGAAAGCGAACACACATGACGTATACTTAACATGGCGCGCGCATTGGCCACGTGATCTCAACCAAAGCCGCCGTTAGCTGCCCCTGCCATTTGCCAATAAACTTGTTGCCCCGCCACACGTTCGCCTGTGCAGCGCGTGGGCTTTTTGCTTGGCTTTTGGGGCGCAGCAGAGCCCGCACGAGTCTAGACAGAACTCTAAATGAAGCGACTGCACCTAAATGCACTGAGCGAAAAGGTTCTGTACTTGAACTGGCTTAGCTTAATATATGTATAATATATATACATATAATATATAATCTATAGTAGCAGAACTCTAAGAAATACCCTGATTCCAAGTCTTTCTTCAGCCACTTACAACTTCTCAGTCTGCCCAGAACCTTTTCACACCTGCCCAACTGTTTCTTGCAGTGCATTCAACTTCTCCCATCATAAACTACAACAGCTCTGCCCCCAGCTCAAGCTCTACCTCTGCCCATTTCCGTTTATGTGCAGCAATTGGCTTTTGTTTTAGATTTTCATCACTCATTTGTCATTTTTCGGCAGACGAATCCCCGAACCCCAAGCGAGACAAAGGTCAAATCCCACACATTGCATAAGCCAATGATGATGCATCCGTCCATTGTGTTGTCGAAGATTAATCGATAAATGGTATTGGCTAAAAAGGCTTTCCGCATCAGCCACACAGCTAGAGACAAGCGTGCGATATTCAATTTATCAAAGGAGGAAAAAAAAATTGTAAAAAATAATTACAAATGTAATTGACACGCAGCAGGTCAGAGTTGAAGCCAAGGGGGCTGTGGGCGTGCCGCGCAATGACACCCACCTAGACACACATACATACACTTTACACACATATGAACATTTGCAATTGCCGCGCTGTGTGGTTATCGTACGTTGATCTTCATACAACAGTTTAACCTCAATGAACTCTTGCATCATGTTGTCTGTTGGCTAAGTAAACAGCAACACCAACAACAACAACTACAGCAACAACCACAATAGCTGTCAGCTTAAGCATTAGAAATCGATAAATATGATGAAGCGACCAAAGTCGTCGCAGGTAAAATGAAACCCACCTGGCAGACATACTTATAGCAGCAACTGTTCGCATCCTGTGCATTTCACCAGCTCAAGTCATAAATTTACAATTTTCACCTGTTGGGCGCTGCTCATTTGTACCTTTTTTAGAGACTCTCCTACTCCACTCTTTCTCTCTCTTTTTCTGAATGCAAATTGAAATGTCATAAAAAGGCGTTCGTCCATCGATTTGCATATGCCTGTTCCTCTCTGCCACTCTGCCTCTCCTCACAGTTCGTGCAAATCTTATGCACATGATTATCATCGACATTTTGACATTTGATTAAAGAAATAAATAAAAGTTTTGCAGCAGCTGCTGCGGCTGAGACAAGCTTCAGCTTGGTCAAAGTTTCAACACAGATGAATTGCTTTGACCAAGCGCGAAAGTTTTTACTTTTACTATAGATGCAATTAAATCGAATTCTTGTATTCAGAAAGGGATACTCAACTCTGTTCCAAGTATCATAGCTAGTATGACAATATAACTATTATAGACTATGCTAAACTATAAAAATTATACATATTCTTCACTCGGATCATTCATACAAGCTAGAGCTAATATTTCTTATCTAAACTTCCTTTAATTTCTTATATAGTTAACTCCACCCACGCTCAGTCAAGCACTTCCACTTCAATGGCTTTTCCTTTGGCTTTAAGCATTTAAACGAGCGCAAATCGAATTCTGTTTTATAAGAATTTTCCGCTAGATAATTTTCTGCATCATTACGGCAAGCTGAGTCAGAAATTGTTGGCATTATAATATTATGATTTTTTGTTATTTTGCCTTTATCATAATATCTAATTATGTGGCTCGACAAAGAACTTGTTCGATACGTTAAGAGGGGGTCTCGGAGAGTGGCTCGCTTTCAGAGGCTTGGCTGTTTGCACAAATAAAAATCAACTTGAGTTCGGAGCCAAATTCATAGCCATTAGCTGAGAGGCAAGTCGCACGAGTCATGAAGTTGTTTCAAGTTCTTGGCGGAGAAGCCTCCGCCATAAGAAGCGTCTGTGACCTGGGCAGGTGTGTGGAGGCGGCGTGGGTGTGGCAGTCAAGCGGCTGCCTATTTGCGATAGTTGCGGCTCATTACGAGCCGAAGAGCGAGAGCCACAAGAAAAACAACAACAGCCAGACACAAGCTAAGCCAAACAATTGCTTGGCCATAGAGCAACGCCTTTCTCTTTGTTTAAACTCAGCCAAGACTCGAGCTAGAGTTGGAGTTGCAGTTGGAGCAGGAGGCTGTAGGCACATGGCTCCACTCCCCAATCTTGGCACGACTCTGCGCCTTGGCAATTTGGCGAGCCTCTTAATGCATTTTGCACACGCCACCCACCCAACTGAGAACGCCGAACGACTCCAGTTTCAGAACTTTGAATTATAATAAAATAAATATGAGCCAGAATTTTATGTAAAAAGTTCGTGACTAATCTGCGGCTGAACTTGAGATGTTACCTTCTGCACAGTGTTGTGATTGCAATTGAGACTTTGATGCACTCAGCCAGCAGCCAGCAGACAGCAGCCAGCAGCGAGCTGAAGCCAGCTGCAGCAGCCATGCAGCCATGCAGCAGGCGCCCAGTTGGCAACATGTTGCAAGACGAAGGCAGAGAGAATTTATTGGCTAAAGAAAAGTGAATGCACCGTGGGCGAGACACGGAATTGAGCGCACAGAATGGGCAAGGCTTTATATGCTAAGGTGTTGCTAGCTAAATTTATAACTGTAAGATTGGTAAAGTCGAGCGTAAGCGACTATTTAATACTCGTTCACGGTATAAAGAGAGTTAAAGAGTTTGAGAATATAAGATATACATTGTTCGTCGATCTATAGACGATTTCAACGGTAACTGCAAAGACATCCATCTCGCAGTAAACCAATATACTATTTTTACTTCATAAACGAGTATACAAAAGTAATGTGTCGATTGTTCTGTTGTTCTATTGTTCTATGGCGATTTCAAGGTCTGTGCAGAGGTTGTTTACTGGGCAGGAATTATAAACATTTTTCGAATTGATATTTATAATACGTCGATTGTTATGGCTGATTGTAATATGCTTAACTGAGTGCTATAGCCTATAAAACTAGCTATAAGCAAATGTAGAAAATATTGTGTGTGTAATGAGGCCTCAAGTCTTAAAATTCTATAAAACTTTTTCTGCTCATTTTCTTGTTAAATACATTCAAATAGTTTTCGTTGCAGCTTCTTCAAGATATTTTCGTTTATTATATATATTTTCACACATTTAATCTATCATTTCATAATATTTTCATTATATTTGGGCTTTTTTATGCAGCTTTTTATTAGAGCTGTCAACGGCTCATTTATACAGATTCTCCGCTCGCTTGCCCACTGCAATCACGTCTTCGGGATTTTTTTTATGTTTTCCAATAAGTTTTACATAATTTACATAGTTCTTTATGATTCGCTTTCAGCTGGTTTATGATTTGTGTGCCTGCATTAAGCATAAACTCGAGCAATTTTTCCCAGCTGGCGCCAGTTGAAAAATGACTTTGCCCAGCTAAATGCTAATTGGACTGTTGGCCACATAAATTCCACGCACAGTGGGCACACTTCCTCCTGTTCTTGCTCTTCTTTAGGCTAGTTGCAACACACAGACATAGACTGTCCTCCAATTGTTGTCGGGCAGCATGACGCACATTCGCGCAAAGATCTTCTAATGCGTTTTGCTATTTATAAAGCATGAAGACTGGGCACGTAGTTCTCGGGCTGTGTCTCTCGATCGAGGTTCGTTGACTCACAAATTTTTGTCGAACAGTGTTGAGCAATAGCCAAGAATAACAACAACAACAATGACAACAGCAACAACAACAACAATTAACTAGCTACAACAACATTAAATTCATTATCGAAAATGTCAGTACGTGACCTCGACCGCGTTTTTTAAATATTTATCGCCCCCTAGACTATGGGCACAGCCTACGGCCCCTAATCAGATGCCGCATGCTGTATGTGTTCATCAACATACATATACAGATATATATATATATATATACAGATATCTGATTCACAAGCAGGCAAAGATTTCTAGCAAATCTCAACTTTAGAAAGCGCGAAATTTAGCTCATATAAGTTCAATTCTCACCTGACAAAAATTAAAATTTGTTTTGCAAAAAGTCAATGAACGTTGCCTCAACAACAACAACAAGCACAGCAACTATGCAACACTTCCAACATGTCACACATACTATAAATTGGAACGCGCACAGTTCCTATTTTTTCTTCTTAGTTTTGGCTAGCACATTTCTGAGTAAAATAGTCACGACATTTGGAACACTTCCAAATGGCCAAATCGAAACCGACTTTAAATAGCCCAAAAAAAGAGAGAAGAAAGAAGTAGATACAAAGTCTGCCCGGTTTGGGGCACAAACTAATTTCGGCGTGCGCTTCCAAAGCAAACAAGTTGCGACTTCTCTAATTACCTCAATGGAGAAAAAGAAAAAGCAGAGGAGAAACATAAGAGGAAGAGGAGTAGGAGGAGCACAAATAACACTTTTCTCTGCTTACACGGGGGAGTTGGGCGAGCTCTATTGACAAGATAAATGACAAGAGGAAACAAGAAGAAGCAGACAAACTGAAGTTGCCAATCAAAAAGGTGTGAGAAAATGAACCCGGATGAACGTTTAAGCTAAGAGATAGCCTAGAGCGTGTAAGAATCGATAAATATATATAATAGTCCCAAGTGTTATCGATACATATAGATGTCACTGTTATCGAGAGCCATAAGACAGCCTAGAGGAACTTATGAATTGGGTAGCAATTGATAGCGTTATCAATATGTCACCCATAACTTATCTTTATATCTTGGACTATCTTTTACTATTCTTAATACTATC